TGCTGCGCGATCCCCCACCCCGCCCCCGAAAAAACATCCCTCCACTCTAGTGTTAGCGGTTGAATTGCGTGCAGTCCCGGGGACAGGCAGGGCTGTTTATATGCAGGCCTGGAGCAGCAGAGACAGCACAGAGACAGATGCATGTCAGAGATAGCAGATCCCATCTCAGGCAGATGCCTCTTATCACAGGCCTGTTTGCATAATTAGGCCTTTTGATATTCACCCCCTCTGACTGACAAAAAGTATAATTGCAGCATCAACTACGACAAAAGGTAGGCACAAAATAAACAAGTCAACATAAATAGGGAGAAAGGATGCGGTGTTATTTTTGTCCCGTGGGGGAAAAAGAGGGAGGAAAAAACAGCATTTTGAACTAAATCTGCTGTCAGTCACAGTCAACTGGTGTGACTCGGTGCTCAGAGGCTGGTCCTGTGAATGCCTGCAAAACACTGAGCGTGAGGCCTGATTGTAATTATGCTGGAACTAATATGCTTTTCAAAATGAGCCATTATGAGCTAATGCTGCACTGCCAAAGCCCTGTCTGTTTTTGTCCCTGTGTCTTGGATAGTTTGCAAAGGTATGGCTGATATGAGGGCCACGGGTTATGATATCAGAGACAGTCTGACATGGTGCGGCTTTAGAGAACAACTTTAGTTTAAGTCAGTGCTGCTCACAGGTGAAGGTTAAAAACGACTTTACACCTGCACAGCTGCAAAAGCATGATTTTGTTTTTTCAACCTTTTAAACAGTGATATTTTTTATTTCTGTTTGTATGTTTAAATGCAAAAATATAATAATTCCCTGACTTCATCATTTGCTAAATGCATTTATATTTGAGGGTATATAATAATAATAATAATTATTATTATTATTATCCTTTTTACTGTGATTATATCCTTCATGTGTTTTTTTATATTTTCACATTAGAGCTGATAGAAGACTACACATGAAAAGGAATAAAGCTCAGAAAAAATATAAGATTTCATGCTGGTAACAGTATAACGTCTTGTAATCATTTACTTTAGGCCCCTCAATCTGTGTCATTCAAAACCTCTGCACAGTATTGAATTTCCTGATGTAGTATTTTCAACAACCGAGTAGACATGAAGTTCATTGCTCTTGTTATGCATCATAAATCTGGAACTTTACATATCACTTGTTTAATTGTCAGTATTGAATGGACAGCTGCTTGTTTAATCTATGTTACCTCAGTATCTCGAGGGTAAAGGTTTGAGGGGTTGAAGGGAAGAAGAGTAGAGCAGTGAGTATGGGGGGGGGGGGGGGGGGGGGGGGTTGATATGAGGAGGTGATGAGGATCCCATCTGCCTGTAGTCTGAGGAGTCTGTCTGTGAGGTCAGCGGTGAAATCTCAGGGGAGAGAGAGCGGCTTTTAAACCTCAAGGTAACCTCAAAATTATTAACTAGCTGCTCGAGTATTTCAAGAGTTTAACTCTGTTTTATCTAAAAAGTCAGAGAGTTAGAGCGTCATTAAAACAGAGTCACATCAGGGTCAAAGTGTGGTTCTCCACGTTAATCACTGGACATTAATTAATAACACAATAATTGTGTGTGTACACCCACTGTAGACAGTTTCTGTATAAAACATGAAGTTCTCTAGGAGAATGATTCACCCATACAAACATGATATTTATCTAATATAAAAAAACGATTTCAATTATGAAGATACAGAATTCTCACTTATTAGCTGCATGTCCTAAAACCATACTCCATCCAAACCCTAAACAAGCTTGAGTATGTAGAGCGAATACACTTGACTTCACTTGAATGCTGTTGATCCACAATATTCTCTGAACTGAAAAGAAAACTTTATCACAGCTGGAAAACATTTCAAACTAAACATGAATGATGATGCTCCAGAAACACTTGAGAAAAAATGTGGTAAAGAAAGTATTTTGCTTGGAAAGTGAACAGTAAGGTTGTTGTTCAGTTGACATCTGGCTCCATCAGTGCACTGTCAGAACCTGTTATGTTAGTATAAAGCAGTGGATCATGGTGATTTATACGATAAAGATCAGTATAGTTTATAGAATGTCATGTTTGCAGAGATTAACATCAGCCCTCTTTAATGTGATCACCTTCATTAGTTTATCAATATTGATTCAGTTGTCATTGATTGATCCTCTTCAGTACCGAAGCTCTGTATTCCAGTCATTTCATTCCCGGCATTCCAGACCATTTAGGTTAAGGTAGTTTTTACTTCAACAAAACCCAACGTTATCCTCAATCTTAATCAAGCTCTTACCTCGACAAAGCAATGTGTAAACCTAATTAACTCTTATTCATAATGGGCACAATATTAAATCAATACCAGGGCAAAACCTTAGAGGGCCCCTGGAGGAGAGTACAAGGCAGTAATCATGCCCACTGGATGGCACATAATTACATTCTAATTGGACAATAACTAATGAGACAAGGCAGGAGCGGTTTATCAATATCCCCTGAACCTTTGAGTGGAAATTACACCAGTTCTATTATACAAAGGCGTAATCACAGAGCACCTTTTTTGTGTCGAGAGAAGCATCAAGAAACTGAACTCAGCAGCCCTGCAGGGATTTAGTTACCTTCGCCACGGAGGTTATGTTTTCATTGCTGTTACTTGGTTTGTTTGACTGGTAGCCAGATTACGCAAAAACTACTGAACCGATTTTATTGAAACTTGGCAGTAGGGTGGGATACAGGCCAAAGGAGAATCAGTTGTTTTTCACTTTCTTTAACTCAGTGACATAAGGTGTTAGCTTTGGCGGAGGTATCCGTTCTCCTAGCACCCTTCCAGTTTGCATATTTGCTCATTTTGTCTTTAGGGTGTGATGAAAACAGACTTAAATTTACAACTTAAAGTGTTTTCGTCCAGAAAAAAGACAGAAAAAGATATTTACTGTCATGCAGCCTTTGAGACCAGTTTCTAAACCATCTGCTATCCATGAACGGACTGGTCCTTTATTGTACCACCACTGTATATTAACCAGAACTAACAGTCTGGACAGCAGACATGTGTTTTTGGACGTCCTCTGTCTTTTTACTCACCAGCATATTGATGAGCTTTACATTCAACCCCAATCCCAGTTGGCCCCCATTCAGTGTGTGCCATTTTCCATTTTCCCTTACTCATTACAGGCAGGGCTGTCGACCTTGTGCTTCTGGTTCATGTACAAGAGCAGATGTGTTGTGCTTAATTGAGAGCAGGGTTATGCACCATTGTCTGCGGAGGTTTATCAGTCATTAGCCTGATAGCATGCTAAATGTGACACAGATTACCGCAGCGGTTTACTCGCAAAATAAAGTCTGCAAGAGAACCTCAAACAAAGGGGGGAGGAAAAGAAAATAATTTGAGCAGGAGCAGACTTTGGTGTCTTTCTCCGAGCCCCTTGAGTGTGAGTCGACTCGAGGGTCTCCCTGTAGGACGCAGAGGTGACTTTGGAAAGTGATCTGTACACTGCTGGGCCGGTCTCAAGTGTCGTCACGGCAAGTTACCGGGCAAATGGATATACGCATCCTCATGAAAACCAACAAAGGGATATGTGGTGTATGTACATATTCAACTTTGTATGTTCAAGGGTGTTCTGCAGTGGAGTGAGCCTGTGCTTCAAGAATCAATCTTTATTAAAAAGGATAAGACTGAAGAATTGATTTAATGAATGCGGCCTCATGTCCTGCGGCCACATGTAATCCACAGAGAATCATTGAGCATGAGCTCAGGGGGACAAAAAATGTTCGTAGAAGACTCATGGAGTGGCCTGTAATGATAGCTTCCATATAATCCCCTAATTCCTTGTTTAATTAAACTCTGAAGCTGGCCTTGAGTCTCCGCCGGCTCTGTTGCTCTTTTGTTCTCACAGTTGTTATTTGGAGGCGCAGTCTGAGTATTCTTTTGTCCACTTACTCTGAAAGATTTGATGTTGGAGTGAGCTTGAAACAGACAAATCGCAGCGGTGAGACAATGAATCAGGCGGCAGGAACTCACTCAGGCAAAACATTCAGGTGAGCGTTATAGTTTTCATTTGAGCTGAATAGCGAGGGGCCACTGTCAGAAGCACAAATCTCTTCTTACACCCTCTTCTTCAATATCTGCCTTTATTTTCCCTCTCCCACACTTTCTGGACGGTGCGTGATGCAATCCAAAAGGGGCCTGGAGCAACACTGGCACATCACGCCGCCTTGTCAATGTCTCAATGAGGAAATTATGAAAATGTGAATTTTATGACATGAAATGAAAAGGGCCATGTAGTTTGAATAGACATGCAGAGGAGGTGAAAATGATGCAATTTTCTAAATTCAGTTATAACGGTAATGTGCAATGGTAATGCGTATTTGCTGTCAGAAATTTCCCTGTCGGCCTGGATTGTGCATCTTTGTGCTCTATCTATGTTCCTCGAGCAAAAATTCAGCTTAGTTGAATGCCTAAAAAGTAATGTAAAATATGTTGTGATTCATTTAATGACAGCAGACGGAAACACATGGCGCTGAATGGTTTCGGTGTGATATTGTGTTCTATTTTATCCACTCTGGCTGTGCTGTGTATGAGCACTGTGCCCTGGGCCACTGAGAGAGAAAAGCAGGGTGAGGAGCAGCAAGGTGGCCTGTGCAGATTAACCCCTCTACCCACGAACACCCCCACTCCCCCTCAGCCCTCTGCCTTCACAGCCTCTGGGGCCCCTTTCAGAGGCAGGATTGTGTATCAGGGCCTCCTCTACATTAAATAAATATCCACAGATTAAGATAATATTCTCCCAGTTGTATATTGAGAGAGGAGAAGCTGTCATTTGAATCTTCTATGTTGCCAGTCCCCCTCTCTTCTGCAACAAAAGAGGTTCCAAAACGCAGATAATACTGTTAGAGCTAATTTATGATCGGTTTCAGCTCACATTTGATACCATTTTCCTCAAACACCCCTCGGTTAATTCACACAAAAGACTCCTCTTTACTTGTTTTCACTCCACGATCACACACAGATGGCCCTGTGTCCTTTTCTCCTCACCTCAGGTAACCGCACAGATGAGGGCTCAGATGTAGACTCGGAGCCCGACCTGCCCCTGAAGAGGAAGCAGAGGCGCAGTCGCACCACGTTCACCGCTGAGCAGCTGGAGGAGCTGGAGAAGGCCTTTGAACGGACACATTACCCAGACATCTACACCAGAGAGGAGCTGGCTCAGAGGACGAAACTCACAGAGGCCAGAGTACAGGTCAGACTTAAGCAACAGCACAGCACACATACGGATGTGAGCAAACACATTGTTCTGTAACAGGCCTGCATGAAAACACACATTCTCATATCTCTAGTGCCATGTGGAAATGTTTTGCTTGGTTTTTCCATGTGCTGGAAAATTGATGGAGTATTTTGCATTTTAAAAACTAAAAAGAAGCAGTACTGCCCAACAGTCTCCTTAAATTCCATCAAGCTGCACCAAATCGTACACAATCAGGTTCCTAAATATGCCTGATTTTCTTTATATAGATTAATTAATTATTATCATTATTATTCCCTGGCAAATCAATGAATTGTTTTTATTTTTTTTAAGTAAATATCTTAGACTGACAGAGAAAGTGAACTATTCCTGATCCAAATATGCATCAACATTGTATAGGTTCTTCTCAGACACATACTGTGAATGTACTGCATCCCTCCACCATTTTGTAGAAATACGTCCGGTAGTTTTGTGTAATGCTACAAACTAACAGACAAACAAGCATAGAAAACTCTAACCGGCGTGGGGATAATTAAACCGGAAGAAATGAACATGATATTCAGGACAACTCCTGGAGCACAGTCAGATTTCACAGGAACTGTTTCTTTGATAGAACAAAGCTCCAATCAATCAACTGTTTTGGACTGTGACATAGAAAAACAGGTTGTCAGTAGATTTTCTTTCTTCCATGTAAACAAAATTACATTTACCTCCATGGTATTGAGGTGGAGGTGGGGTGAGAAATCTCTGAACAAAAAGGGCTGCATGCCTGTAGATCCCACTCGAGGTAAGTGAGGCAACACTCTGTAACAGTTTCTTTGTTATTTGAGTGTACCGATTCTTTAAACACATGTATAATTGGACATTAGCTATGCTAACTCTAATAGCTGCACCTGTCAACATTGATGTGCTGCAGTAGCTCCGTCCTGAGCATCACTGAGGCAAATATGTTGCTTCTGCTGCAGCCTGTTGTAGACGCTCACACCCGATCACACCTGGCACATGCCTCTCTGTAATTCCTCCAAACACGCCCATAAAAAGCATAACACCACTGAATTCCCCCACTTACAAAAGGTTCTGAAAATATTAGTCTTTCACCCACGGCAATGCTGCATTCATCTCTCAGCAAGATGTGACCCTCTTTTCCCGTATCACACAGTGCATGTTTGGCTGCTTACCATTAGACTCCGTGTTTTAAGTGATTTGACAGCAATGCTCCCCATCTTCACAGCTCAGACCCGCAAAACTCTTTGACAGCCTGGGTGCCCTGTGGTTGTATGTAAGATTGAAGGAAGATGTGTACAGTAGAGTTATAGCAACAGCTGTTCTTCCAAATACTGGGAGAAAGAGAAAGGGAATGCATTCCTGATGGATTTCTCATTTCGGCCTTTGGCCAGGATCTCATCCCCATCACTTTCAAGCTCGCCGCTGCTTGTAAAATCTTCCACATATCACACAGGGTTCCTCATCCTCTCTTGGGAACCTATGCCCCGACAACAACATTAATCAATCAGCCGCTAGTAAAAAAAAAAAAGGGTCTGGGGCACCGTTCTCCTCTTACCACAGTCGTTCACACTCCCTCTGAACCTCCCAAACTCCTCACCGCATGCTAACTGTTCATCACACTACAAACATGCAGTTGGGGGGTAACTGATTCCACACATGTCTTTGTCCATCTTAAAACCCCCCAAAATGCAGTGATGTCCTACGTCTGAGCGTTTAATGCCTCACTCAAGGGAAGAGAAATTTATCTCTTGTCTGTTATTGAGGAATATATTGTTTTTTTGTTTTTTTGCTTGTATAAGAAGTAAATGTGGAAAAAAGGTGGGAGAACTAAAGGCTGCATCAATAAATCTCATGGAAAATCTACTCTAGGACAATCTGATAGTATTGATTTAAAAGTAAATTAAATTTTGCATTGGGTTAATTGGGTTCCAACACTCTAATATGATGGAAATTAACCACACAATTGCACCAACCAACATTTTTATTATATCGTTAATGCCACATATAAATACATCATTCTAGTGCGAGTCATAGTGATCACAGAGGGCAGTGACACCTCGGGTCTGAAAGAATAATCCATGCCTGTATTAGAACCTGTGTATTTATGGAGACGAACAAAAATACCATGAAAGCGAGAGAAGAAAAGGAAAACGGAATGGCTGCTGTCTCTCTGCTGATGATAGACTTAAATGATGTCATGTGAAAACCTGAGGAATTTGAGTCATGGCTTTAATTTGTTAATGCTGTTTTCCTCATAATCTAATTCTGAAAGTCTTTGAAAGTCTCAAAAGGTCAACTCAAACTTAATTTTCTGAGAAGCTTACGAAGCAATAATGGACAAAGTTGCACTTCAGTTCAAGCGTGTTTACAAGAGGATACTCTGTAACTTCTTATGAGTCTGATTGTTTTTCAAGTTCTTAACACTACTGTCATATCATACAACATAGAAGCACGTAACCCTTTTAAATAAACTGATAATAATAAAGATAATAAAAATGAGTGTGTGCATGTGTGTGTTGTTTGTATGGCCGTGTTCTGAAAATCTCAACCAGCTGCGCTTTCATATGTAGGTGCCCAAATGGCCCATCACAGGGTAGGAGAGAGGAGACCCTTTGGCCTGAGAGCAAAGTTTCTCCTGCACAGCTGCAATGACGCATCTTCCAGATGTCGCTCAGAGACTAATCTGTTTGAGGCTGAGGAAAAAACTAGAGGCTGGGGATGTCGGAGGGGTCTCACACACTCATATTTTAAGTTGAATTTGTGTCCACAGTCATGGTTCACTCGTGTCATTAAAAACGGCGTTAATGTGGAAAGTAGTTTCCTCAGATTGAGGTAAACGGCACTGGTGAGGTGCAGACACGGCTGCACCGGCTCTCCACCTCTGTGTTGTAAATTAAACTGCTTGATTCTTGTGGAAGTGTTTGGCTTAGCACTGACGCACAACCCAAACTCATAAACAGAGCTAATTCCCTTGTGTCTGCCCTCGCCTGCCATTTAAAGACCTTTTCACCATCCATCTTTATCAGCCCCACTGCCCCTTTCAGCAGCGCTACCAGCGCTGCTTCACCACCACGAGCCTCACAATGGTTTTATCACCCCAACTGACAAATTGTGGGATATGATCCATATCTCTCAGCGATTAGTTCCAGGCTGTCTCGGCGGGAGAGGATACTGCCAACTTCTACCTTCAGTATACGCTGCGCTGATGCAGTGAGCGCTGCCACTTTCCATCTGATAGCCCCTCAGTTTTAACAGGAGCTGGCGGCAAAGCCATTCCATGAGCTATTAGAGAAGAGAGCAGTGTTTGTGTCCGATTCCTCTGTGGGGCGGATCAGGTGGGGGTAGCGGCGAAGAAGACGGGAGGATATGGGCTGCAGGCCGCTGTAAATCAGCACTCAGAGATGAAGCAAATTACATTCTCCTCCATTTAAACTGAAGTTTTTAAAGAGACTCACTTCTGAGTCTGGGCTGAGGCTCATCATCTCAGCACGCCGCCACCAGCTCGCTTTACCAAATCTGTCACATAGATCCTCTTTCATTACCAATAAACATTCTGCATGTAGCTATTATAGTCCATGGAATCTAATAAGGTATAAGCATTGCTTTTTACGAAGCGTGCAAATCAATTTGGTAAAAAGTTTCTCTCTTTATCTGTGGCTTGTGCTGGCCTGTTGATGTATGGAATGAGCACTGAGGGAAAAAGATCTAAATGTGAGTGTGGCCTCCTCATATTTTTTTTGTGAAAGACCAGTGGAGCCAAATTCAAACTCACGCTGGTGCTCTTAAACCACTTTTCAACACAGCTGCTGAAAATATAATCCCATAGGGAGGTGTGAGGAGGTAATACACAGTTTCCTGATTGTTATAATATTAGTCAAGTACCAGCGGCAAGAGAGGAAATCACAATGGAGCCGAGTGCTGACAAGCAAACCCAACAGGCAACTGTATTCCCGCCAGTGTGGGTTTATGTTTCATAAAGGAATAAATAGGATTTGTGTAGATTGTCGGGGAGAAATTGTTGCAATGCATCAGTGTGAATGTTCTAACAGTTTCTTATTATTAGAATTTAAATGACTTTGGTACAGTGCTTCTGTACTCCTGATACTTATCAAGCTAATCCCACTCTCCTCTCAAATTCATACTCCTAGCTACTTTAATTAGCATAGTGCCAGTCTGGAAGGCAAGCAGGGAGGGAATCAGAGAGAGAGAGAGAGGGAGAGAGAGAGAGAGAGAGAGAGGGGAAAGAAAAGGGAAAGAAAAGGGGAAGGAGAGAGGAGAAGGGGGAGGTGTGCAAGTTCGGGGGGGAGGTATTGCGTGGTATGAGACAGAAGAGGATTTGTATGTTGAGGCTGCTTGCATCACCCCTCTGTGTTTTTTGTGGATATGAAGTCAGCAGCACATTTTGTTTTGTCATTATCTCGGCTCTCGGTATTCATCTACCGAATGTTGCAAATTGGCTCCTGAAAGGCGTCACACACATTCAGTACTCGTCTTTGACAAAATAATTCATGGAGGATTGACTGAACGGGGGGAATTCTGAAATATGAGCGATCCTGTTTAAGAGAAAACAACACAGATGTTTTTTTTTATTTTCTCACTGCACTGCAGTGTCACGGGTTTACAATGTTTGCAGCGTATTATCGCTGATCAGAGATGAGAAAATGCAAAGTGCCTCTAGATCGCTAGGAATCGATTCTTTTGGCGTGGAGTGAATGGGAGATTGAAAGCAATGAACCGATGCAGGCAGCCAAACTCGAGCTGGAGACTGAAACGTGTGTTTGCAGGTTTGTCATCCGATTGCAGGTTCGAGGTTTTTGTCTAAACCCTCCTCTGCTGTGGAACAACCTTCACCCTTTGTCCACCTCCAACTGGGTCTTCCTTCCAGCCTTCCTCTTTGGTTCACAAGCTGCTTGACTTCTATAAGATGCACTTCTCATCTGTTTCCCTCCAAAACTTTACTCCACAACGATTCAGAGATATGCTTCCAATATATCCAAGTGAACTGGACGCTGGGAAACCTCTAAGTCCATGACAACGAGACAGAAGTGAGTCACATGCATGAACTGCACGTTTGTAGGTAGAGGGGGAGACGTGGAGGAGCGCGGCGGCTCTCTGTGCTGCAGCGAATTAAACCGGATTGGGAAAAGCAGAGGAGAATCTGTGGTCCAAGGTGACTTTGTGATCAGGTTCCAGAGCGCAGCCTCAAATCCTCAGCTTCGGGCTGTGTGTTAGACTGTGTGAGAGCAAATGTGTGTGTGCATGTGTGTGATACCGTATGAGCAGCTGGGCACATGTGCATCATCACTGGTTCACATGTTTATCCCAGTCTGTGCCGAGGGCGCGATGATTGCTGGAGGAAGCACTCCGTCCGTGACATGAACTCGCCTTTCGTACCATTTTTATCAAAGTGGACACAATACAACTGGAGTTCATGCAAAATAACTGAATAGAGCTGGTTATGATCACAAGTGGGCAGCTCTGGATACAGGTGTAAATGCATCCATGACACATTGAGATCCAGTCGCTCATACCACATCTGGACGTGGTCAGGGCACATGTGGCCACATTGTTTTAGTTGTTGTAAACAGATGTGTAAGACGGAGAACGTCCTCATTTGCCTTCAGCGAGTCACGAATAAAGAAAGATCTAACTTGTTTATCGCCATGTTTTGCCACTCACAGCACTTAGTCAGGGTTAAGGAACACCCTGTGAGTGCATCCGACCCCAACAATCTCCTGCTGCGTTCTCTATGGTGAAAGACAAACCCTGAATGTCCAAAGAATTGGATTCGAAAATGTTCAGGAATTCCTGTATAAAAAAGGCTTAAGTGATTTTGCTAAATATTGACACCTTTACAGTAGTTTTATGATGGCAGGCCTAAACATCTACTGATTGATAAATGTTTGTTTAGTGTCTGGACTCATAAAGACTTTCTCAAACTTCAATTGCATGAAGGCTAAAACACCAAGCTCCATGTTTATGATGGATTTCATTATCAAGATTTACATTAAATCCACAGTGATGGGAAATTATTTCAAAATATATTTATATAAAGGAAATATCTAAAAATGTAAGAGAGCAGCCACAATAAATAAAGGAGCTGGGAACTTTACTATTTTAGTAAAGTAAGGGACCAAAGGGAAAAGTACTAAAAATGAAAACGATAAAAATCTAAAAATAAAAGAAGAAAAAAGCGACTTTAGCGTTTAAGTGTTTTGTGTCGGCCATGATTGAACACCTCCTTCCTAAGCCTGGATGACAAAGGGGGAAGGAAGTGAAAGTGCAAACATAAAAGAGGGGCGGGGTGAGTGGATGAGGTCGGAGGTGAAGTGGCACTGTGGGGTGCAGTGATGGGGGGGTGTGGAAGGAAGGGGTGTACCCCACCGTACCCCTCCACCCCCACCCCGCCTCTGTAGGCAGCTGTTTGTCTGGCCCAACTAGAAGCTTAGCTCAGACCCCGGTCCACGCTCCACTACATCCCAATAGCGGACATTTCACCGCAGCCACACACCACATTTGTTTTGGAATACACGATTGAGGGATTCAGACGGGGTCTTGAGAGGCGACTCGGACTCGGATAAAGATTTCATGTTGGTTTTGCAGTTGTACAATTGAGGAGTTTGCAAGTCGTCGCCTGTTGAATCCTGTTTTCTTTCTATTGAGCGCTCACCACTAAACTTTTAAGCAAAAAAAACAGTTCTTCACTGATGCCTTGACCGTGTGGGAAAAGAAGTACATTCAAATTGAGATCTCTGTTGGACTGAGATCCCTTGTAGGCCTTTACGAGTTTATATGTATGTTTGTGTGTACAAAAAAAAGAGGCAGCCCCTGAAAAGCAGTGAGTATGTCGCTGTGTAAGTCCCCTTGAAAGTGTCCCTCTTTAAGACCTGTTTAAAAGGGACGCCCTCCCTTTGTGTCCACTGTTCTCCGTGGCGTATGGAGGGGCTTTTGTCCCCCCTCTTTCATGTGTCCTCACAATAGCCCGGGCCGTTTGAAACACAACAGTAGATGAACTGCTCTGACAGTGTATTAAACTCTGATGAATTGCCTGTGCGAGGCATAGATCAATGTCCTTCAACCCTCGGCACACAGTGAAGCCGGGGCCTTGTCTCGGGCTAAATGGAACAGGTTGCTGGCTCCTTTCAAAACAGCCTGATTATATTTGTGTTTTGTTGGAGCAGAAGCCTTTTTAAAATGTGTAAATCTTTGCGGTTCAAAAGACTAAGACCCCCCCCTGTCTTTCAGGGAGTTGACATTGTGTGTCTGTGCTTTAGTGCTGCTCATTTTGGAAGCATTTTGCCATTTGCAGGCTCAGAACTCAAGAGTCTCAACTCTGAGTTTAAAACACTTTCTCGAAAGTGAATTTTAAAGCTTTAAAAACAACCACGTTGAAAACGGTGTAGCAACAGATAAAGCTGCCCTGTGACTCCAGAGGAGTGATGGCTTCTCGCAAAGCATCTAATAGTTTGAGGTGTGGGATGTGGAGACTGCTCACCTACGTCTGACCTTTGAATGACTTCTTCCCTCTGAAGGAGGCTTAGGGCAGCATGTTTACACAGATCACAGCTTCAGCCACTTAAGAACAACAGGGACAGACCACTGAGCCTCTGTGGCAGCTCCCACAGGGACCGCCGACTCTCAGCCACCACCAGCACTCGCGCTAACCGGCAGATTAATCACAGGTGGCAGGAGCCAGCCCACTCTGCAGAGGGTCTGCATGCTCGCTGCACTTGATGAAATAAAAGTATTTGTGAAGAATTTGAACTTTGTTTTGAAATCGTGCCGTTAATTTCTTCTGTGTAGGTGTGGTTCAGCAACAGGCGAGCTCGATGGCGCAAACAGGCTGGAGCAAACCAGCTAGCGGCCTTCAACCACCTGCTTCCTGGAGGATTTCCACCCACGGGCATGCCCACTCTACCCACGTACCAGCTCCAGGAGTCCGGTTACCCCGGCACCACGCTATCACAGGGTAAGACTGACACGTCTGCACCCAGACACAAAACCACTTCCATTTTGAAACTTAAAGTAGATCTGAGGTTAATCTAATTTTGGTAAAGATTACATTAGTGCTATTTATTTGGGGTATGCCATCCATATTTTATGTTCATGGTAACATCATTATAAACCATGTGCTGTATATAAGAACCATGCAGCAAGTAGTTATCTTTACAATCACAGCTTTGTCACAGTGGGACGAAAACAAGCCTTCACTTCTTCTCTTGTGAGACGCAGGTCATTTCTGCAACACTTTTAATGTTCAGCGTTGTGTTTATTGGCTGAAGAATTTGCAGGAAGGACATTTAATCTGTGATTTATGACCTCTTGAACTTACATTTTGAGGTTACTACCTGGTGATTCATGTTGTTGCTTCAGCGCAGAATTTCAATTTCCTATTTGTTCTTACCTGTGCACTTTTTTGTATTGTTTTTTTGTCAGAGGGCGGCAGCACGTTGCACAGACCCCAGCCCCTGCCTCCATCCTCCATGCACCAGGGAGGTCTGAGTGCCGATGGCAGCTCCGCTTATGGCCTGTCGTCCAACCGCCACAGCTTCTCCAGTTACTCTGATACTTTCATGAGCCCCTCTGCGTCCAGCAACCACATGAACTCTGTTGGTAACGGCCTCTCCCCACAGGTCAGTCCAACAGGCTTTACCTTCATGTATCACGTCTATACCTTCCCCTATAGGTAGCGCTAACATCCCTCCATCCTCCTCCTCCTCCTCCTTCTTCCACTGCTCAGACTAATTGTACTTGACTGAAATTAAAATTCAGAAACAGCGTGTTCAGCAAAATAACTGCCAGTGTGGGCTTTTATGTTCGCCTTCCAAAGCCCTGGATTTACTCTAGCTATTCTAAATTGCTACATTTGTAAAACAATTGGATTAACATCAACAAATTAAAATTCATCTAGATAGTAGCACAAGTGCTCAAGCTGCTCCAAACAGCGGTTTCCCGACTTTCCTGGGACGTCTTAAATCCTGTGCAGCGCAGTGAGAACACATGCAGATGAAATAATTAGCTAAAGCTTATAAATGTAGACCCCATAATCTTCTGCACATAATTGTCTGCAGCGGGAAGACTGCAGCGCCGTATGTGTGATTTCCTTCTTGTCTTTGCTGCATGAGTTCAGCAGGGAGTTCAATGCACAGACTGACGGAGGTGTTGTGATCTCCACAAGGTTTTTGTAGCTGGTCACTTCACCGGTACTTCTTCATCTTCTTAGGTTTAGTCCTAGTTTGAATCTGCACAAGGCCCAAAACTATTCCCCCCCCTCCCCTGTCATGAAAACCATCATCTCTGTTCCCCTTAGCTGCAGGTTCCTTTGCATCCGTTTGCTGGATTTCGCATGTGAACCCCTTTGTCAACGTGCCCATTAATGAGCGTTTAAATTCATCTCTTATGCTAAGGGTTGAGCTTTAAGTAGCGCGGAATAAAAAAAGTGATTTGTGCAGATGCACATCATGTGTACAGAGTGAATTACACACAATTACCCATCAATACTGGGCAGTCTTGCCCACCCTCACCAACAAGATGTGGTTAACAGGCAGAAAATAAGATTGAAATGGTGTGTAAAGAGTTGAAAATGAATTTCAATGCTGCATTTGTCCACAATTACCCCGTCGTTCACACGTGTTTTATTGGGAGTTTTTTTCTTCTTCTTCAAATATTTCTCAAAGCAGATTGGAAACATTCTTGGTATTACCCTCTTTCTTCGGAGAAAAAAAGAATTAAGGATTTTGTGACAAAAAAGAGATTTTCTCTCCTGCCGGAGCGACGGAGGATAACATGGAGGCTCACAGCGTGTTTGATTGTTAATCGTGGCACAGGGGCTTTAACTGCTAATGCTCTCACTGCAAACCTGCACAAAAACACCAGGAACATGGAGGCATTTTTTTTTCATTAATGGCTCTCTCTAATACTGGCATGGGGCGCACTGTCGCTTTCTCTCCCTCTCTGCACAGGCATTCAAGAATGTGTTGGGATATTGAACATTTCCTGTCATAGTGAGGATTAGAACAGGAGCCTTTGGGCAACTGTACAGCTTGGATTTCCAGTATTCAATTACCCTATCAAGTGGGTTTGACGGAAGTCTATAAGAACCCACCTGAAATGCAGTTTATTTGTATTTATTTATTTTTTATTATCAAGTTGAATTGTGGATTTTGTTCATATTTTCAGAGGGGTGGTATATGCATGTGGATGTTTTGATGTGTCACACCATGTTTGCACTGCACAGAATTGAAATGTATTGAATGCATGCAGAATGCTGTGTGGCATTCCTATCAGTCTCTCAGCATGGAGATGAATGTTCCCACTGACAGAAGAATCAGAGTTCACTCCACGGTGCAGTATCCCGCTGGGCCGTGCACCCCCCACCCCCAAGCCCCCCCTCCTTCTCTCTCTCTCTCTCTCTCTCTCTCTCTCTCTCCCTGTCACTAGTAGCTCTCCAAAAACACACAAAACTCACACAATACAACATTCAGTTTATCGTGTCCAGGTCAGACCTCGTGTTGTCTTCCTCTTTAATTTCACTCACTTTCAGCTTAAGAAAACTGTCGATCACACATTTGACTCCATGCCGTGTATTTTTCATGATTTACAGCATGTTTTTCACTCGCCTGCCTTCCCTCCCCTGTAATGGGAAAAAGGGTCGAACACAAACACGCTCTCTATCGAGATGGAAATGAGAATTTTGATATTGTAAGTTGCAGACAGCATCTGCTTGCTGGAGATATGCTTGTGCATTTGTATGTGTGGAGCTATTTCTTCAAGTGTCTGGCATTGATGGCCTCGCTGTACAGAGATTGACAAAAATTCTCTGATTCCCCGGTAAATGGGCCCGCAGTGGCGAGGTGCCAAGTCTGTAATGGAATCCTGCAGCGTTCAGCGTCCCCGACAGGAGCCCGCGTCCATCCCAATCCCATAACCTATCCCGACAGCACACATTTTCCCATTACAGGCGGCGGAGAAGCTATCCACTCTCCAAACTGGTTACTGTCATTGTGGGATATACAACATGTTTGGCTGGTTGAGGGAGGCAGCGTATTAGAGGTGGTGAGAGTGAAGCTGTGCATGGCTGGGCATAAGGTATGAAACCAGAAGTGTGTTTTGTTGTTGGTCTTGTTTCATTTAGCGACACAGCAGGTGTTTGAAAGGAGGAAAGGCAAGGGCATGGAGGTCAAGCATCCAGGTATTTTTCAGCCATGAGCACCTGGAGATTTAAGCTTATTTCTTCCTTTTTATTATGGTCGTTCTCATCTCTAATATTTCATTTGAAATTAGTCTCTGTGTCGACCTCCTTCGAAGCCATTATGATGCTTCAAATTTGAACTTTGCATATTCTAGACTAGAAAAAAAAAAAGCAATATTTGCTTTGGACAGACAGCATAGCTTTAACTGAAGAGGTCACACCTTCTTCTTTAGAAGGTCCTTAGACATTTATATCTAAAGAATATTGTATATTTCCCCCAAAACCAGACAAAAAGGGCCCGTTAGATACTTCTCCAGTGATTCCTAGAAGCCGTGTTCATGAGCATTTCATTTGCAGGGAGACATTTGGCCTGCATTCCTCTTTACTGCATGACAGGGACACCTGCTGGGAGAGGAAAGAAAATAATTGAAGTGCACTGGAGGGCTGAAGCCATGCAAGAGGAGCTTGGTGGCAGAGCTTGGGTTTCACTCCTCAGAGAAATGTCTGGAAATAATGGCAGGGAAAACACGGACAAAAAGCATTTTTCTTGCATTGTAATAGTGGGAACTGCACTGTTGAACGCACGCAGCGATGTTGCATGGTGTTCCCACAGTTGGAAGTCGGTGACCTCCGTAGGTTGGTGCGGTGGGTAGAGATTTTATTGCTGTTTTGATGAGGGAAGTTTGCAAAAGTTTTGTGAGGAACTTTTTTTCTGTTTTGCAGTTTTTATGAAAGTGTTGTGTGTTTTGGAATGACAAGGATGTGCGTGTGTGTATCTGAGGAGGGCCTTTGGGCTGTGTGAGTGGGCCGGGCCTGCACACATTACACACACGCACGCACGCACACACTCACACACACGTACACGGGATCAGAGGCAGAGCGGCTCTCAACCCTGCCTCCCTTTGATCTGTGTCCCCAGGCCTGCCTGCCCGCGCGGCGCTGCACCGTACCACGCACGCTGACACCATGCTCACCAGCGACTCCCCACAACTGTCTGAGAGAGATAAGCCAGGGGAGACTCCAAACTGTGCTGCTGCTCTTCCATTAGCTAGTGCAGACGCTTCTTTTAAAAGCGGGATGAATTATTTTTAAGAAGCAAGCTCTGCCGTTGCCAAAAAAAAAAAAAAAAAA